TCACCCAGCATTCCTTGCATTTCATATTTTCAAAGTGATAGATGAATAATGAAATCACACTAGTGCCTTTAACAGAAACAACAACAGCCTCTCTTTCGGTTTTTACGCATGGAGTATATTCCAATTCACGAACTATGTAAGAAGCTTGCACCACAACAGATCAAAAACCTGATGGCTTTCCACGCAATCACTGGATGTGATACTACATCTAAGTTAGCGTCAGTCACAAAAACGGGACGGTGGAAGCAAGTACATAGAAGGAAACTACTGTAAACCCCTCGGTCAGCTTGTAAAAACTCCCGATCTAGCCCCGATGATCTCCGTTTGGTTGAACAGTTTGTGGTGCAAACTTTATAAAGGTTTGTTGCGTCCCTTTTCTGAGACACATGGTGAATAAAAACTTTTAGCCGTTTCGATACTACTACCATTTTTATTTTGAGTTGGACCGGACATTACAACGGCAGACGCAGCCCATGTTTCAATTTTTTGGACAGTGCGAATGCTTTTCGCCATCTACCACTGATGTCGCCTCCGTCAACACATTCTCCGGTGCTACTTCCAGGTAAAATTAACAAGAAACAAAAAAGGAAATTTGAACAAATCGAAGGATTTTAATGTTATTCTGTTTTTTTTTAGAATAGAATAGAATAGAATAGAATTTATTTCTCGAATACACACATATTACATACAACTATAGTTAATTTTTTTCAATGGAAGATTTTCATGCATGCTGGAGCTCATGTGTGAGCTATTGAGAAGAGCAGTTCATTTTTAGTTTGTTTTTACACAATTATAATAAGCAATTACACAAATTGTAATGATAATAATAAAAAGAAATAAGATGGTGAAACATATTCGCAATATTTGAAAAATGCATCTAAGCTTACATATAAGTAAAAAATTACATATTGATACTGTAAGAATGAGTTAAAAATGTATATGTTAATATTGTATTGATATAGAAATAAAAAGAAATATATATACAAAATAATTCACAAGTTTATAAGTATAACAATCAAGCGATTTATAAGTGGGCATTGAAGAATTGATTGGTATCGTAATAAACGTGGGTCTGAAAAAATTGTTTGACTTTATTTTTAAAAATATTTAGTGAAACTATTTCTGTTATTGAGGACGGTAGGTGGTTGAATGTTTTTGTTGCCATATATAAGGGACCTTTCCTGTTCACTGTATAATTGAATTGAGGTGGTATGTACTTGTTTTTGTTGCGTGTATCATGGTTGTGGACATCCGTGAATTGTTCTAGTTCATGTTTCTTTTTGAAAGCTAATAAGGAAAGACGATATAGATACAAATTTGTAATTGTGAGTATTTTCAGTCTTTCAAAATGACTTCTACAGGATTCGATCCGTTTTATCCCACAAATGGCCCTGAGAGCTCTTTTTTGTATTACAAATGTGCTGTTGACATCTACTGAATGTCCCCAAAACTCTATACCATATTGTACTAAGCTGTAGAAATAAGCGTAATATACTGTTATTGCTGATTCTATACCGATATTTTTTCTTATGGTAAATATTGCGAAAGTAGCACTGCAGAGCTTTTTATTTAGGTTATGAATATGATTCTTCCAATCCAACTTTTCGTCTATGTGAATTCCGAGAAATTTTACAGTTGTTCTCCCCTGTATTTCACCATAGGGTGTTTCGATCGTGATTTGGTTTGTATCCTTATTTGGATGGAAGGTTATAGTATGTGTTTTATCTGTATTAAGGCATAACTTATTCGCGGAGAACCAGTGCATTATTTCTGTAAGTTGCTCGGATGTCGACACCGACAAATCTTCAAGGTTATCGCCTGAGTCTATTACACTCGTATCGTCCGCAAATAAGCAAAATTCTAGAGACGGAAAATTAGCCACTAAGTCATTGATGTATATCAAGAATAATATCGGACCCAGAATCGATCCCTGGGGAACACCATATTGAAGCTTTCCGTTATTAGAGTGATATTGTTTTATTTGTGAATTACAATTATGTGTTATACGGATTACGATTTCGCGCTCTGACAGATATGATTCGAACCAACTGTGCGCAATCCCTCTAATGCCGTAGAATTCTGATTTCTGTAATAAAATAGCGTGATCAACGCAGTCAAACGCTTTAGATAGATCGCAAAACGTAACTAGTGGAATTTGTTTATTTTCAATTTTGATGTTAAGTTTGTTTATGAGATCGAATGTAGCATCTGAAGTGTTCATATTTTTTCTGAACCCATATTGTGAATTTGTGAGAATGTGATGTTTATCTAGAAAGCTAATTGTTTGTTCTTTTACCACACTTTCAAGAATTTTAGAAGGAGATACTAGTGTGGATTAAGGCCCATGATCAGTATCCTGATTTATAAGACCCGATTAATTACGGCTGGAAAATTGTTGATGGACGATATATTCCAATCCTGATGACTTTGCCACCTCTTCCCAATCCATTTTCCGAATTTGGAACTCGTGGCTGCAAGGAGCTCTCTCAAAATATAAGAAATGAAGGCTTGGACAATGTTCAAATGCTTTTTTGGCTCATAAACTTATTGAGCACCCTCGAAAGCGTATATACATTATGCAACACGTTTTCACAAGTTCTTTGTAATTTTGGTCTATTTCGTCAGAATTTGATCATTCGATGAACTTCCAATGCTCCAAATCATTTTTCGAGTGTCTCATCGTATTTAACACCCCCGAAAACATAAACATCGACACCTCAATCGTATAGCTGACCGAAAGTAGAAAATAATTAGATTTTAGGGGTATTTCGGACGCCATCTTGAATATCTCACTTCCGGTTGGAATTTCGACTTGATAAACGGTATTTTCGGATTCAGCGGGGTCGAAATAGGGGGTTTACGTCATTTATCCAATTGTTACATGAAATGCTTCTAGGATTAGACTTTTCGCAAAACAAGCCCCGACTATTATTCATTCCGCGTTGAAATGGGAACCGTGTGCGTCTGCCGGCCAAGAGTGCGGTCGCTTCATAACGGTACGAATTTAGAAAAAGTGCCAAAATCAATTTTGAAGTGCCTCTATCATTACCAGGATGAAAATACCGCCAAAGTGATTGGAATTATATATGTAGGTAGTGAATCTAGAAAGCGTCTGCCGGTATGGATGCGGTCGCATTTTCAAAGCAGACGACGTTCGATTGTTCGAAACGTGTCAAGAAAACACTGTCCAGTTCCTTTATGAGTTACCACCTGAATTTTGTTGTATACAGGCTGGGTCAGAACAAGACCGACAAACTTTGTTTTCAGATTTCTTTATTTTGAAGTGGAAAGTTTTTATCCACGTTCGTACTGATTGAATACTGTCTTGAGATACAGGTTGTCAAAAGTACGGAGACATCTTTTATTATTATTACGTATAAATATAGTAATATAGATTAATTAAAATCTTTTCAAAAGTTTTGATGGAGGTATAGGTAAGTAGGTAGGTAATATTATATCATCTGTGAAATCGGGCACATATGTATTTTATAGATTACTATTGATATGAAACTATAATAATATGTATAGTCACAGTAACACTCGGTTATCAACAATAAACTCTGCGACTAAAGATATATTAATTTCCTCGTTCATAAAAACTTGACTTTCTCCATTTGGAAAAAAAAAAGTTTTGAGTCAACGATATTTCTTAATCACCACAAAAACAACGATACAAAAGATAGTACAGCCAACGTTCACGACGATGGGATGGAAAAACAGTGACATCGGGATAATGAGGCAGAGCGTTACGGCGTATCGATTTTCGTTCTTACCGGAACAAAACTTCTTAGGGAAATTGCCATGATCATTTGGAAGGAACATTATCTTCATCACATTTTATCATTCTTGGAGATTGAAAGAATATGGCCGCTCTCCCAGCCAACCATCGTGTGACATCAACATCTGTGTGATGTAACAACCTTGCATGAATGCAATATCTCGTTAACACATCTTATCGACGTAGATTCGATATCAACGTCGCAAGGTGACATCGCGACCAGGAAACTATGTAATGTGGCAGAGACTTCTTCAAACTACATCTCTTCGACGTTAACTAAATAATTCACATTGATATCCTCATGAGATATCTTTGTGACCTGTGAGTGTGGCGCAGACATGCGCAAAACGAACGCACACGCCAGACGACATGTTGAGCTGTGCATGGCCATGTCAGTCAGTGAATGAGTCCGACTCCGTACAGACTATTTCCTTCCAAATTCTCTGTTGAAATATCTGAGATGATTTATAGCACACATATTATTATAGCAGTTTCAAATTGGAGGCATACAATCATTTAAGAACGACGGTCGTGAGTTCAATCACAATAGGTAATATTGTGATTACCTCTGAGATAGGACTATTGCAATCTAAAACAAGGTGGATGAAAGATCCCAAGATAATGTAAGTGTATTTGATATGTATCATTTATGAATAATGTGTATTTGTATTGTATTGCTATATATATGTGTCATGTTTTACTTCAAGATTACTAATTAGGGTGATTGTCATGATAAGTTTTGTATCATCTGTTTTTACTTTCGGAAAATAAACATTTTCTTCGTAAAGTTGAATGATTATTATTATTATATATCCCACGAATATCACAGCAGGTACGGCGACCACATCATCGATGTCGCAGTGTGATGTATTTGTAATATGAAATGTACACTTGTATGTGACCTGGTGGTGATTTTGCATGTGATGTCGCATTTCATGTCTGAACGACGTCACAGTGATGTTGCTTGAGTCGGACATTTTCACATCGCCACGTTGTATCGGTAGCATGTTTGTGACTTCAAATGCGATATCGCATGTCACAAAGTGATGTAGCGTATACATCACTTATACATCTCATGGTTGGCTGGGCTTACTGTCAAATGGAAGTATCATTTCCGGTCCGATACCTGTGTGGAATACTGCTCGCTAATAAATATAACATTCATGATCCCAAATCAATTCACCAAATTGGATATGATTATTTTTAGTTTGTAGGCAGGATATCAAGGAACAATACCCAGGATACACGGAAGATGTGATCTGAGTTGACCGGTAGATTCTATCTTGCCATAAGGATAGTTGGATTTTGAAATAATATTCAAGCTTTGGAGCATCTCATTTTGAATAATTAGTGAAGGCATCATAATGAATGCAAAAAAATTGATAAAGATAGGTAGGTAATGAGATTTGTGAAATCAGGCACGTGTTTTATATTTCTTAAATTCGTAGTGGTACCAAATAATAAATAACTATAAAGATAAAACTAGTTATCGTAACATTCTGTGTCTAAAGATAAATCAATTATCTCCTCGTTCGTTAAAAATCTCACATCACTTTGACTTTCTCCATTTGAAAAATGGATTCTCCTTCTGGGCCAACGATATTTCCTGACCACCACAAAAACAACGATACTAGCAACTACACCGATGCCAATAACACTTATAACAATTGACAAAACATTGACATTGGGACTATCCGAAGCCAATTGGCTGAGCAGCTTATCGTTCACGCTGAAGTTTCTCTGGTACGGTGTATCGAAACGGTTGTCGTTCTCATCGGACCAATATTCCTTAGAGAAACTGCCATCATCATCAGGAATAAGCAGACCTTCATCGTTCTTCGTTGGTCGTGGAACTTCTTCGATGTCATTACCATCTATTTCTTTGTGCACCTGTTCGGTAATTGGCTTCGAATAATGTATATCTGTAATATTTGGAAGTGGTGTAGACGTTGGAAAGACTTTCCTTATAATGTCCGGAGTAGTTGGAGGAGGTTGGATATGTATTATGATTGGCTTAGTGACGATTACAGGCGGGAGAATTGCTGGTTTGGTAGTGTTAGTTGGTGTTGTAGTAGGAATACGGGGAGTTGTAACTTTGGATATAGGCCTCGTTGATGTTGATGATAGCCTTACTAAGGATTTTGTTATTTTTGGAGTAGTTTTTGACACTGGCGATTTTGTTACGGTATTGGTGGTTGTTTCTTCTATCACAGTCGTTAAACCATTCGATTCTGTTGTTACTGAAATTCGATCAATATTTATGTATTTTTCCATCAAATCCTACTGAAATATTCACTTACATGTATTGCAGATATCGTAATAATCTGGACAACATCGATTATTATCGAAGCAGTCATCATCACAGTCACAAGTAAGACGATAACTATCATTGCCCACACTCTCCTTTTGGCCACACCTCTTATCGCATGAATCTATAATTGGAATTATTTCTGTGCCGATATTATCCTCCCTGAAATGAAAATGAGAAAATTCATTGTCGTCAATAATTGAATAATTATATAATATAGGTATTGAAGAATATTACGTTGTGCTTGTGATGCTTTCTTCTGCTTTACAATTGTTGATTATTTTGATGTCATCAATAGCTATATCGCTTACATATCCATGACCTCTAACTCCTTCGAAGATTATCTGAAAAATAGAAGAAAATTCAGTTGATATACATGATACATATACAGAGAATTGCACAAAACACGGCCAGGACTGTAACTTTTGAATTATTCGAGATAGAATTTTGAAAATTGGTGAGCAGCTAGTATATCAAATTGCTCATTAATTGACGAAACAATTTTTGTTTTATCACTTCCGGTTTTACTGGAATCGACCCCGACTTTTGATTTTTAAATGGGACACCCTGTATTGTATTCCTTAATCGGTTGGGGATTGTCATAACGAATTCATCGATATTGGGTTTGGTAGGGTTATTTCAAACGATTACGCAGATAATCGCGTTCTACGTTTCCATATGCTCAAATGAGTGTGACAGAGAAAGAAGTTTTGATATTGCGAAAAAGTCACACCCATTGAGCATATGGTACGAAAGCGCTGTACGGACATGATACTTTTTTTTTATAATTGCCAGTTTGATCTGGCAATTAGCTATAATTGCCAGTTTGATCTGGCAATTAGCCATAATTGCCAGTTTAAACTGGCATTTAGCCATAATTGCCAGTTTGAACTGGCAATTAGCCATAATTGCCAGTTTGAACTGGCATTTAGCCATAATTCAATTAATTATGGTTAATTGCCAGTTCAAACTGGCAATTATGGCTAATTGCCAGACCAAACTGGCAATTATAAAAAAAATTATCATGTCCGTTCAGCGCTTTCGTAATATGGAATAAACTTCCAAAGCAAATATCTTTGTTCGCCAGCCCAGTCTTCCAGCTATAATCTCGAACTTCTTTAAAACATGCTAGGTTTTTACATAAAAAATTGTATCCCATATGGAGAAAAACTTTTTTGTCCAACTTTGACAGTAGATGCATATATTTAGATGATCTCATTATCTTGGGACAGTACTGGAATTGTCTCCTCATCTCCTCCATTTACAGAGTCATCTCAAAAAATTATGTTTCTGGTTTTGCAGTCATAACTTTTTTCCTCGTCAACCGATTTTTGAAATCTCAGGCTCATTTTGAAGCTTAAACTTCAGATGACGAGATATTAAGATCAGAATTGACTCAAGATGAACATTATATATAGATCAGTTTGTCTCACTTATTCTAATGGAAGCACCCCTGTATCTTTCGTAACTGTTAAGTTAGCATTCTGAAATTTGCAAGAGCGGTAGATATACTACTGAAAATACACACTATGACCAAGTGAAGTCGTCTCCAGTGATATACACTGCTCGCCAGCAGCCATGGACCCATCCACAAAAATGCTTTATGAATTATTGCTAAAGTTCGTCTGTTTTTCTCAGGACTCTCTTCAAATTTTGGATCATTCAGTACAAAATAAGTGGATATATCACCAGGGAGGTTGTATATGACAAGTACCAGAACCATTCAAGAAGATTGAGAAAATTTTGAAATCTCTCGTCAAGGAGTACCACTGATGTAGTCTTCCCAATTAATATAATAATGGTGAGGAAAATTCATCAGATGATGTGATGGTGAGTATTATTCATGAATTCAATCAATTCAATATTAAATTCATCTTTCTATTCTACACATTTCTTGCAGGAAGAAGATGATTAACTGTGGTTGCAATTAAATAACATCCATTGAGTGTCATAGAGGATATATGGAAGAGTACTTTCAAATTACGGAGAAGAGAAATTACAAATGAAGGAAATTATACTGTAGATATTTTGCAAAGTTGGCCACCATTCAACAGTTAGATAAAAGTTTTGTTTTGATGAAGATGAAACAACTTTTTGGTAAATAATATAATGTGGGTATATTTTTTAGATTGGATTGCACTTCTCCAGCTTACATGAAGAGGAGAGAAGTTTTCCACAATATTACTTCTGATGCATGTTGTAGAAGTCGACACACTAGGAAAATGTGTATTCTATTTTTTGTTACAAACTTATAAACTTGTGGAAAATTTTATGTAATGAATAAACTTGATGTTCATTCGAAATCTGTATTAATTCAGTGGCACAAGAACCTAAAAAATAGTCAATATATCTATATATCTACTATACACTTTGTTGGTGAACCAACTATTATGGCTATCTATACAAAATATAAGTGAAGGGACAAAAATGATGGTTAACATAACACTCATTTTGTTGTGAGACTAAAAAACAACAATTCCTTTCGTATGGTGACTAAACATATTCAACTATTGTTCGCTGGTAGATATTATTATTAAACCAGATAGGCTCATGTTCATATGCTCTTTTTGGTTGATTCAACCCATCAATTTCTTTGAGTGTGGTATTTTTCGGGACTAGCTACACGTTTGATCCGATCTTTTACTGATTTTTTGTTGACTTCAATGAAAAATAATTGAGCCTAAATACTTACTTGAAAATCATCGTCAATTTTTCCTAAGCGTTCATATCCCCTGTACCATTTATCACCCTGATTTCCAGACTTCGAAAATATGACTGCCTTGGGATTGAAATTCCACTTCTCACTTGCTTTTCTCAAATAGACCCTCAAAGAACCTATGGTGCTACCGAACATGTGGTAGAAAAATTCTATGCAGACTTCGCCATCCATTTTATCGTACACAGGTGATAGAAGTCTGGCTGTATCATTTTCGTTTTTAGAAGACGATTCTATATACATATAATATCCTGAAACAATATAGGTAAATATCGATCGATTATCATTTTGAATTGACTATGCCAACCCAGACAGCACTGGATATTCATAGAATATTCTCTAAATATGCTAAAAAGGAGGAGTATATTCCGAATATTCATCGATTATTCCTAGAATATATACATGCCTCTGGAACATCTAAAAGGAATATTCCAAAGTGAAGAGTCGGACATGTTCAGGGAATATTCAGGTATGAATCTTCCAGGAATATTCCCAACTGAATATTCTCTGTTGTATATTCATGGAATATACCCACCTGAATATTCTGTGCGGTATATTCATGAAATATAACCAACTGAATATTCTGTGCGGTATATTCATGAAATATTCTCAACTGAATATTCTGTGGTGTATTTTCATGAAATATTCCATGAATATTCCCATGTTTCTCAACACATAAATACCATTTATTATTTCAGAGATGTGAGTATCGAACATCAATCAGATGTAAGGGGATTTTGAAACAAAGAGTGTGTATGACCCAATTTCGAACAATGCTCTCACAAGAACTTGATATGTATAACATTATTCAATTCGATCACTGGCCTAGTGGTCAAGGCGTTGCTCTGATAGTCTTGAGACACGAGTTCGATCCCTACTTGGGTCACTTTTTTTATTTTAGAATATGTTTATTGGAATATTCCAGGAACATTCAACATAGAATATTCTTTCGGGTATATTCTATGACTATCTGAGGAATTCCCATTCGCATATTTAGAGAATATTCCACAGATATTCCGGAATATTCCAGATTATTTTTAGAATATTCCAATATTCCAAAAGGAATATGATAGGGAGATTTATGGAATATCTGGTGCTGTCTGGGAATATGGTATTATGATTCAGAACATCTTGTTCAGAACAAATTGATGAGGACGGGGACGGGGACGGGGAGAATCATCAAATCAAGAACAGAAGGATATAGCACAACAGATTACTTTATCTTTCTACAGGGTGTCCCATTGGGAAACTGAAAATGTTCAAACGGTGGGTTACAAGTTAACACAGATTGATCCTTGAGATATTGACGGGCATCACATTCATGCCACACCCCTAACAACACCTGTACATCCTAGGGACTTCCCAGGGACGTCCCTAATTTCAAACTAGCACATTCCAGGGATATCCTTTCTCGGACAAAGTACATACTAGGGACGTCCCAGGGACATTCGCTTTCAGACAAAAAGGACATCCAAGGGATGTCACTTCTGGTACGTCCCTGGGATTTACCGAGTACGAAGGAGGTATATCCCTAGGACGTCCCAAGGATATTCCAGGGACATCCCTTCGACAAAAGAAAAAAATGTAAGTCGAGTAGGGATTGAACCTGGGAGACCTTCAGCTTATCAGGCACGTACCTTACTCCTTTGGCTAATATGCCTTCTGAAGATTCATGTATTGAACATATTTATGAACACTAATTAACAGAAACCTGAATAAATAAAACTCAGTTAGGATTCGGGTATAATTATTATCATTCTTGGGTGTTTAAAAATGAGGGGCATTATGCATTTATGATTTCTGTTTGCGAAAAATGGTCATTCCTCGAGAAGTTTCGAGACGATAATAATATTCTTTATTTTCATCACAATTATTTTCCGGAAGAAATACATTTTAGAAAAAATTCGACTCAATATTTTGATAAAATTCCATGACTCTCTGATGTGAATGGATATCAGATATTCCAGGGACACGAATGGGATAACCTAGGGATGTACCGGGCAGGATGTCCACTGGACAACCACTGCGGGACATCCCATGGATGTCCAAATCATGTCCTTGTTACGCGGGACAAAAAAGGAACGTACCCTGTGTTGTTAGGGACCTATCACATCCCTGACTCGAATTGAGATTCCAAATGATATTACAATAACTGCTTCCCCGGACCAATATTTTGGTCATTTTATGATTCACATTACGATGCCAAATGAAACTCGCAGTAAATTGATTGATTCGGTTTGTTACAAAATTAGAAAAGAATGTGAGGTTCCAGTGAGTCTTTTGGTTGTTAGGGAGCCTCACAAATTTACATAGATTTCAAGTCTCACATCCTACAAAATGAGACGACTATTGCGAATGTTTTGTGAAATGAGGAGTCTCTTGGCAAAACCAATGATCAAAAGGAAAAAGGAAAGCTCAAAGTCATCCCCACTACTTTATTACTGATGTATATCAATTAAGGGGACATGTTTCGGACTTATAAAAGTCCATCTTCAGTCATTATTAGAGGTTACTACAAGCAAAGGCATGTGAAAATATAAATATTATGAAGAACCAAAAGTTGACTTACATGGAGGTGGAACAATATTTAAAATCTTTGAGTGCTCGTCAAGTTTCCCTTCTGATGGGACTTGACATTTGATTCCATAAGTGCGCGTTCTTAGGGCACGGGGCCTCAATTCATTTTTAATGAAAACCCGTTTATTCTCAACCCCTCTTTTCACCAATATCGGCATCGGCATCCAATTTAAAATACTGTTTCGACAAGATATAAATGAACAAAATAGAATAAAAGAGGAATACAGGGTGGCCCACTTATGCTCGCTCGGACCATAGCTGCTAGGCTGATAGAGATAGAAAAAAAAATTCATCGGAAGTTATTGGAGACTTCATAAGCTACTCTTCAAAATTATTTTCTAGTATACAGGGTGCACCATGAATCCGGGGTGAAAGAATCGATCGTTTTTTTAAATGGCACACCCTGTATATTATTCCATTTTTGGAATCTCTCTCATGTGGGCTTCACAAACCTATTTTGTTTTTGAAGATCAGATGCGACGTTGTCAATTTATTAACATTTTGATAAAATTTGACGAGAAAACATGAATGTTGAAAAATATTCAGGGAAACTATATTTTCGAAGATTTATGAACAAAACTGGGTATGCAGATACTAAAAGTATGTGTAGATACTCAGACATTATTTGCGTTCACTCAAAATATACAGGGTGTTTTAAAATAAGGACCGAATTTCGCGATTTCCAAATCGCCGAAACTCATTTTTTTCAAATGGATCACCCTGTATATTATTCCATAATCTGAAAGCCCATCCAATGAGCTTTTTGGTGATACCATATAGACCGTATCCAACGATACTCTTCGATAGGTAAATAACGATAAATCAATTCAACTGTACATTTTTATTCAAAAACAATAACAAACATAGAGAAAATTCAACTGACAATGACAAGTGCTCAAACTCATGGAACATATCAGTTCATGAGATGTTCAAAATGTCTTCCATTCTGCTGGATACATTGATGAATCGTCATAACTATCATCATTATTCGGATCCAAATCCGAATTCAGAACCACTTCCCAAGAAAGATGGTCTCCGAATGTTTGGGGAGGTATTATTGATAATTACGTCATCGGCCCTTACTTTATTGATGGTGTGGTAAATGGAGTAGTAGTTTTAGATTTTCTAGAAAATCATTTGGGAGCGATGCTTCAACCTGTACCACAAAATGTGTTGAATAATATGTGGTCTCAACTACACGGTGCATCAGTACATTTTGTAGCACCAGTTCGCCAGTGGTTGAATGAGCGCTTTCAAGATAGGTGGATTGGTAGTGGAGGTCCAATACACTGGCCTGCAAGGTCGCCAGACTTGACCCCTTGCGATTTCTTCTTATGGGGCTATGTTAAGGATAAAGTGTATTCGAAACCAGTAACAAGGAAATAAAACATGAAGATGAGAATACGGGAAACTTTTGCAAATATAACACCAGAAATGTTGTCAAAAGTAAGGAATTCGATTAAACATCGAGCTCAAAAATGTATTCAGCAGAATGGAAGACATTTTGAACATCTCATGAACTGACATGTTCCATGAGTTTGAGCACTTGTCATTGTCAGTTGAATTTTCTCTATGATTGTTATAGTTTTTGAATAAAAATGTACAGTTGAATTGATTTATCGTTATTTACCTATCGAAGAGTATCATTGGATACGGTCTATATGGTATCACCAAAAAGCTCATTGGATGGGCTTTCAGATTATGAAATAATATACAGGGTGATCCATTTGAAAAAAATGAGTTTCGACGATTTGGAAATAGCGAAATTCGGTCCGTATTTTAAAACACCCTGTATATTTTGATTTTGACCCAAATAATGTCTGAGTTTCTACACATACTTTCGCTATCTGCATACCCAGTTTCGTTCATAAATCTTCGAAAATATAGTTTCCCTGAATATTTTTCAACATTCATGTTTTCTTGTCAAATTTGATTAAAATGTTAATAACTTGACAACGTCGCATCTGATCTTCAAAAACAAAATAGGGTTGTGAAGCCTACATGAGAGAGATTCCGAAAATGGAATAATATACAGGGTGTGCCATTTAAAAAAACGATCGATTCTTTCACCCCGGATTCATGGTGCACCCTGTATACTAGAAAATAATTTTGAAGAGAAGCTTATGAAGTCTCCGATAACTTCCGATGAAATTTATTCTTCTATCTCTATCAGCCTAGCAGCTATGGTCCGAGCGAGCATAAGTGGGCCACCCTGTATATAAAAATGAGAGAACAAAAATATATATAAAATAACATAGAACAAGTATCTTCATTATTACAAAGAACATATGTCTCTTTAAAATCAATAACATGAATCTCTGATAATTCTCACATATCATAGAAGGACTAGAATTTGTAGGCTAAGTATTCGTCTAAACTATACACCATATCTTTGACAGATTTCCGGAAGTGTTTCAAATCATTGATTATAGCTATATAATCTGGTAAATGATTGTAAATCTTTTTACTCCTATAAATCAAGGATTGTCTCCTTAAAGATGAATTAGGCAGAGGAAGAGCAAGGTTTCTTTTATTACGCGTAGTTATTCTTGTCTATGTGTTCATGAAATATCCTTTATATTTTTGAAGCAGACAGACTGTTTCTGAAACAAAAATTTCGAGGACCGTCAATATCTTATTATTGTGAAAAATTGGCATGCATGAGTCACGCGTCTTGACTTTGAATACAAATCTCAGAGCTTGTTTTTGAAGGACGAAAACACTATTTAAGAGACCATGACAGCTACATCCCCATCAGAATGAAATTCCATACCTCAGATGCGATTCAATAAGTGAAGAGTATAAGCCGATATTGAAGCTTGTAATCCGAGTTCACGGGATATCATATTGATTGCGAAGCAACCAGAGGATACTTTTTTTTAAGAGCTGATAATATATATATGATGGTCAAACTTCAAATATATATATTATTTATTAGTAAAATCGTACTGAATTTATTTCATGCCCTAGTTCACGTTGGAAAAATTGACCTTTGTGTTTGTTTTTGTAGAGTTTCTAATAACATAGCCTAGACAAAAAGAAAAGTTGCATAAGAAGTGGAAAAATTATAAAAATAATGTTGATTATGAAAACTTTTCCAATTTGCGTAAAATTGTGAAAAAAAAGATCAAAGAAGATTACCTCAGTTACGTTCAAAAAACAGAAAATAATATAAAATCAAATTCCAAATATTTTTGGTCATATTTGGCTAATAAAAAAAATAATAGGTCAATTCCTGCGCGTATGTCTCTAAATGACAGAGTTGCTTATGATAATGAGAGTATTTGTGAACTATTTTCTGAATACTTCAATAGTGTCTTTGAACCTAACCTGACGTCTTCTTCAGTTCAGAGTGATGTAAATAATTTTAACAACTTTGAGGTGTACTATATAAATGCTACGGAAATTTCTGATACCATTCATGATTTGGATATCAATAAGGGTCCGGGGCCTGATGGTATACCCCCGATATTTATTAAAAGATGTGGTGAATCCTTGGTAGAACCATTAAGAATTATTTTCAACAAATGCTTGGTGGAAGGAACTTTTCCATCTGAATGGAAAATAGGAAAAATCGTACCTGTTCACAAGTCGGGAAGAAAGAATGATATTGCCAACTATAGGCCAATATCTATACTTTCTCATTTTGGAAAAATCTTTGAATCAATCCTGTCTAAAAACTTATTCTTCCAATTGAAACATGTTATAAATACGTGGCAACATGGTTTTCATAAAAAAAGATCAACGCTCACTAACTTAATACCATACGTACAAGAAATCTACTCGAACATGGAAAAAGGAATTTCAACCTGCGTTGTGTACACCGACTTTTCGAAAGCCTTCGACAAGGTACATCATCCTACACTTATTGTTAAACTTCGTAATTTCGGTGTGCATGGAAATTTATTGAAATTACTCTCGTCCTATATCGAAAATCGTAAGCAATATATGTCGTTGTGAATAATTCTAGATCTTCATCATTGTCAGTCACCTCTGGTGTTCCGCAAGGGTCACATCTAGGTCCTCTCTTGTTCAATATATTTATAAATGACATTTATGAATGCTTCGAAAACACGGATATACAGCTATACGCAGATGACCTTAAAGTCTACAAAGCCATCACCAACATAGAAGACTATAATATGCTCCAAACTGACCTTGAAAGTTTCTTCAAATATTGTGAACTAAACAAGTTGAAACTGAATCTTGATAAGTGCCACAAAATCCTATTCACCAGAAGCAAATTGCCACCTCATTTTGACCTCACACTGAATGGACAATCAATAAACAACGTTAACTCAGTCAAAGACTTGGGGGTTATTCTTGACACCAAATTAAAATTTGACTCTCATATAGAGACTATCGTTCAAAAAGCATTACGAAACTTGGGTTTCATTTTAAGAGTCACCAAATCCTTCAATCGCTCTGAAACAATTATAACACTCTATAACTCTATCGTACGAAGCCACCTAGAATACGCCTCAATAGTATGGAATCCATTCTATAAGGATAAGATAAATAGAATCGAAAAAGTACAGCAAAAATTAATAAATGTTTTAAATTTTCGATTCAACAAAAGAAGACATTTTTTCTCTTATGAATGTAATGTTATATTTTACAAGCTAGAAATTTTAAATTTGAGAAGGCAATTCTTTGATGCTTTGTCTATAAAATTGTCAATGACATTATTGATTCTCCATACTGTACAAGTTTTTTCCTCTTGAATTGTACCCGATATCTTATGCGACATCGGCTACTATTCGTACCTGGTAGGATAACTACCAATTTCATGTCTAATTCTCCACTATATAGGTGCATGAAGTTTTGTAATGGTTTAGATGACGAAGAATTTGATATTTTTTCGACCAGGATAAACATTTTCAAGAGAAAGTTGAAGACCGCGTTGTATAACCGATAGTAATGATTTCGTTTCTTTTTTTCTCATCCATTTTTGAATATGCAATATATGTACGAATTGCACTGACTAGGTTGTTTATGATACTTCCTGATAATAGTTCATAAAATATGCCGATTATTTTATTAGAATAATTTAGAGATCCAACTTTTTTTTTCTGTTATTTTCCAATTACTCTCTATATTTTGTCTAGTATATCGAAATAAGTACTTCTTATCCTAGATCTGAAAATATTTATATCATTTCCTTTAGGGCTATTTACATTTTGATTTTAGAACGGCTTTTATAGCATTGTCTTGGTTTAAGTTAATACTGATCAAAATTTGTAACCTGTGCGATTCTATTAGTGGATAGCTGCGTCTATCTGTTGAATCGCCTAATTCTCCAAAATAAAATAAAAATAAAAAAAATAAACATACCATCTTGTAACATTCCTTTTGTGTGGTCAAAGCTTGGTCCAGTACCAATCGAGCCACTAGGTGTGTTATAATTTTCTCTTTTCCAGTCGAAATCATGATTCAAATCATGGGTATAGCCGCAGAGGTCCTCAGTTTCGAAATCGCAGAACAATTTTGGCTTAGTATTCCATGCTAAAATTGAAGGAAATGTCGAATAAACATGTATATTCGAACCAGAAAGTAAAACGCGCTAAAATATCATGAATTGTATTCTGTTTAATAAGGTAATTCGTAGTTCTCTTCCGGAGCTCCAATACCAGCCAGGCAAATCAGAAACGAACGACGAAGAAATGTTGACACCATAAATATGGACTTGGCAACAATTCCCGAATGGGGATCCAATAACTTGGTAGATTTCAATGCAAACAAAACACAAGCTTCTTGTTCCGTGCGAAAAGCTACTTTACACCTCAACAGCTTCTCATGATCTACAAAGCGCAGATACGGCCTGTTCTAGAATACCATTCCCACATATGGGGTTCAGCACCAAAACATACGCTGATGCTCTTAGATTCCATCCAGAGAAGAGCCATTCGCCTGGTGGGTGACGCCAAACTCACTCACTCACTCTTTGACATCATTGGAACACCGTAGAAAGGTCGGCGACCTTTCACTTTTCTATCGATACTTCCACGGGAAATGTTCTTCGGAAATCCCTTCACTAGCAATACCAGTCAGACGAACTAGACAAGCCCAGTCAGCACATCCTTTCGTTGTCAACCTCGAAAGATGTCGAACAGCACTTTATCAAAACTCTTTCATCCATAGAACGTCTAGGAATTTTTTTGGAACTTCTGGAGATTATATGTTGTTGGGAATACTTCCTCAGGCAATGAATTCCAGAGCCTAGCCGTTCTATGGATGAAGGAGTTTTGATAAAGTGCTGTTCGACATCTTTCGAGGTTTACAACGAAAGTATGTGCTGTATTGCTAGTGAAGGGATGATAGCAGAGATTTCCGAAGAACATTTCCCGTGGAAGTATCGATAGAAAAGTGAAAGGTCGCCGACCTTTCTACGGTGTTCCAATGATGTCAAAGAGTGAGTGAGTGTGGCGTCACCCAGCAGGCGAATGGCTCTTCTCTGGATGGAATCTAAGAGCATCAGCGTATGTTTTCGTGCTGAACCCCATATGTGGGAACAGTATTCTAGAACAGGCCGTATCTGCGCTTTGTAGATCATTAGAAGCTGTTGAGGTGTGAAGTAGCTTTTCGCACGAAACAAGAATCCGAGTTTTTGTGAAGCAGCGTTTGCGATGGATCTGACATGATTATCCCATGAAAGAGTGTTGCTGATGGAAATACCGAGCAAATATATGGTGGGCTTGGTGGGGATGGTGGTGCCAGACATTACAATATCGGGCATACTGAGTTCCGCCTTTCTAGAGAGAATACAGGCTTGAGTTTTGGTGGCGTTGAATTCAACGGTGTTGTTGGTTCCTCAGGCTGTGATTTCGGCAAGGTCTTCATTGACAGCATTGACCTGCCTGCGCCGTGAGTTCTTAGTTTCCTGGAAAGAAATGGAAATTCTGGAAGAGAACGCAGTATGGAGGGTACAATCATCTGAAAAACTGTTACTCCCAACAGATCATTGATATGAAGAAGGAATAATGTTGGTGCCAAAATTGATCCTTGTGGAACGCCGGAATTGATGCCAATGGTATCAGACGATACACCGTCCACCACCACGTGAATCGATCTGCCTGAAAGAAAACTCGATAAGAGATGGCATAGCTGAGGTGGTAAGCCGTAGTATGATGGTAGTTTGTGGAGGAGTCCTTCGTGCCAAACGGTCGAATGCTGAAGATATGTCCAACGCGACAGCTAGAGATTCCTCGTGTTTTTCAAATGAAGCTCTCCATAAATGTGTGACGTAGGCAAGTAGATCTCCAGTAGATCTTCGGTGGCGAAAGCCGTATTGTCTATCATTATTGATGATTCCTGAGCTCTCTAGATATTTGATAAGCTCAATATTGATGGCTTTCTCCATCACTTTAGAGATTACTGATAACAGGGCAATGGGCCTGTAGTGTTGGGCAGGTTCTTGTTCCCTTTTCTGGGAATTGGTTGGACTCAAGCTGTCTTCCAGCATGATGGAAAAATACCCGACCTGTACCAGACGGTAAACAGCTTGCAGAGAATCGGTGTTAATTCTGGTGCACATTTTTTGAGGATAATGGGTGGAATTCCATCAGGGCCGTTAGCCTTATTCGTTTTGAGACCAAGCAAAATTCGTCTGATAGTGCGTTGACGGAAAACGATTCCGGGCATTCGACTCTCAACGGGTGGAATGTCTGGCGGCACTTTTCCTTGGGAATCTGAGGTAGAGTTTGCTGCGAACATATCTGCAAAAATATTTGCTTCCTCCTGCGATGTTGTTGCTAATGTGCCGTCGGATTTGGACAGTGGTGGAAATGAACTATTAGTGAAATTTCTTCCATTGGGACAATCTATGAGTTTCGATCTTATCTTGGCATTGTATGTTTCTTTCGAAGCATCTATTGTTTGGCTGCAGTTATTCCTGGTATCAACGTATTCTGCTCTAGTCGCGAGGTTAGGGTTTTTGCGCCAGCGATGGTAGGCTGTCTGTTTCAAAGCAACAGTTCTAGAACAGTTTTTGTTGAACCATGGTTTCGATGGTGATGATCTTTTCGAAGAATGAGGTATGTATGTGTCCATTCCGAACATGATGATCTCGGATATTTCCGCAGCACACTGTGAAGGGTCCTCAGAGTCAAAGCATACTCTATGCCAAGGGAACTCGGAGAAAAACATGCGGTTACCGGAGACCGTCCCAATCTCCTGAATTGTAATGCCATGAAAGACGTGGGGGTGCCGGAGCAGTTGATGGAATGAAAAATGGACAGGTTGTGGAGATGAGTGTGTGGTCAGAATTGCCAAGTGGAGCTCGTACGTCTATGGTGTAGGGTGCTGAATTATTAGTGAGGAATAAGTCAAGTATGTTAGCTGAACCTAACCTAACGTAACCTGTTTTGGGAGAGAGGAAAAAAGATGTCTCTTCAAAAAAATTGTGGGTGGGAATCAAAAATCAATCTTCATATTTCAATATCGATTTTTGACGCGACAAAATTATTTCAAAACTGAAAAAGAGAACATACGTAAACATATTGGAGCGTTGTTGTCCCACTTCATTCCATCGCAGTAAATGGCACTCGGACCCTTCAAAGTATAACCAGTCTTACAGAGAAAATGTTGAACTGCTCCTGAATGGGATGGGTGATTCCAAAGAATATTATTATTCGGTTGCTGGCCTATCGGTTTACATGTTGGACCTAAAAAAAATATTTATTGCTAGATATAACAATATTTTGAAATGATTATGCGATATCAAATCAATGCCTGAATCAAATTGGCTGCTTATTTATTCGAAATTAAATTGCCCTTCGACTGATCGACCCCTTCATTAAACCAAAACCGTTGATTGAAATATATTACGCTTCCCAGCGTAAGCGTATAATATGTCAATCAACGCCAAAACCAAACAATAGTAGGTCTTGGAATTATGAACATTTCGGATTTGTCATCACCCAGCCAACCATCGTGTGACATCAACATCTGTGTGATGTAACAATCTTGCATAAATGTAATATCTCGTTAACACATCTTATCGACGTAGATTCGATATCAACGTCGGAAGGTGACTAAATAAATCACATTGATATCCTCATGAGATATCTTTGTGACCTGTGAGTGTGACGCAGACATGCGCAAAACGAACGCACACGCCAGACGCCATGTTGATCTGTGCAAGGCCATGTCAGACAGTCAGTGAGTGAGTCCGACTCCGTACAGACTATTTCCTTCCAAATTATCTAAGATGATTTTATTATGGCAGCTTCAAATTGGCGGTATACAATCATTTAGGAACGACGGTGAGTTCAATCACAATAGATAATATTGTAATTTTGTAATTATCTCTGAGATAGAAATATTGCAATCTAAAACAAGGTAGATGAAATATCCCAAGATGATATAAGTGTATTTGATATGTATCATTTATGAATAATGTATATTTGTATTGCTATATATACATTTGTATCATCTGTTTTTACTTTCAGAAAATAAACATTTTCTTCGTAAAGTTGAATAATAATTATTATTATTATATATCCCACGAATATCACAGGTACGGCGACCACATCATCGATGTCGCAGTGTGATGTATTTGTAATATGAAATGTACACTTGTATGTGACCTGGTAGTGATTTTTCATGTGATGTCGCATTTCATGTCTGAACGACGTCACAGTGATGTTGCTTGAGTCGGACATTTTCACATCGCCACGTTGTATCGGTAACATGTTTGTGACCTCAAATGCGATATCGCATGTCACAAAGTGATGTGGCGTATACATCACTTATACATCTCATGGTTGATGGCTGGGCATCCTCGAAGAGAGCTCGTCGAGTAGGATATTATTGAATTTTTATTATTTGAAAATCTACCAGAGGCTACAGAAAACGACTGCGGAGCTAGCCAAATCCCGTTTTGGGAATAATTCCATTCCGAACGGTGAAAAATTGATTGATTACAATATAGACTTTATAGTTTCCGGCAAGCACATAAAAAGTTTCAGGACATTAGATAGACATCACCGGACTTCTTTCAGAAGTTGGACTAAAACACTATACCATTCTAGAGAGACCGTTTTTTTTTAAATCTCTTGGAGCGCACGAAGGAAAATTCCTAGTGAGGATAGGGAGAGGAGGTGTGTGTTCGATTTTTTTTAAAGGAACAATCTCTAATTTGGGTAATTGGTTGAAACTTTGTACACTTCGAACGCGTCTTCTAAATGAAACCTATCCATGAAACATTTCCGGTTGGATCGGAAGTTGATACAAATATCCTTATTTTATCTTACCAATTACATTTTTGAAGTCTTTGTATTATCTTAAAAAGAATGTATGATAGCCCCTCTATCGTCATTGAAATGAGATTGAGAATTTCACGAAAACCTAGACAATATGTGGTGTTATACATCTTGCCATATACAGTGTGTCCATTTCGTGCGTAATTCTTCGATATCTCGAAATCCATTATCACTAGAAACTTTTGAAAACAAAGGACACCGCACGTTTTATAGGGAAATTGACCTCCTGTCGAAGTGGCTGAATGTTTGATATGTTATAGTCCAAGACATTCTGAACAAAATGTCCGAATACCAAACTGTTGTAATGGCTAGTGTTAGCGCTAGAGACCGCTGAAGTCTCAATGTTGTTTTTTTTTCTCCTGATGAATTTTTCAATTTGAGCTATTATTATATTATTTTTTGATAGGATAAGTCACTACAAGAAGTTTTATTCAATATTGATGCTGTTGGTCAAGAATTATACAGAGTGTTCCAGCAATTATGGGGAAGATGGAATATGATACTATCCAATAATTCAATGGAAAAAGATATTGTCACGTGTCGTATTGTTTTTAAAACACACTCATATAAGATTAATTGTCTCTCCTACAACAGATCAATTCCAAAATTGTGGTAAAGAATTATCATTATTGTCATCATTGATATTCCTAATACCTATACATAATTAGTGATCTGTGAAAATCATCACATTTATATTGAATATCAAAATATTTTTTTGATTCGAATATTATTCATCTGCTGTTACATTTCTCGATTTCTCATTTCTTGATATCCTTTCCTATGAAATCAATGAATATCATTATCGTCTTAAACAATAATAGCGGAGAAAAAAAATCAAGATTGAGACTTCAGCCTCTAGCGTCAAAACTAGCCATTAGAACGGTTTGGTATTTAGACATTTTGTTCAGAATGTCTTCATATATTGTTGTTGTTGTTGTTCTATCCGTCATTCGGTTGCCCCCTTACGAGCAACCCTCAGAAGTCTTCGAGAGTCTTGTGCGAGCAAGGAATGACGGGGGCCTTACCTTTTAACGTGTGATCCCAAACACTTTCTTGGGCCATCAGAAAAATTTCTGCAGTCGACGGGACTCGAACCCACGACCGGCAAGCGAAGGCGGATTAGAATATGGACACTCTGTCCGCACGGCTACCTGGCCACTTGGACTATAACATATCAAAAATTTTGCCAATTCGACAGAAAGCCAATTTTCCCTATAAAACGTGTGGTGTCCTTTCTTCCGTTATTGAAGGTTCCCATTTCAAAAATATTTTCAACAATACTGGGTGTTTTATAAAAGCGGGACGACTCGGAGACGAGTTTTTTTAAATAGAACACCCAGTATTTTTTATTCGAAATTTTTTCCGTTTAACTTTAGCTCTACATCGCTGTAAATTTTTTTTTATTTGGTTGCGACGTTGCCAAGTTATAATTGATAAACCCATTTTTACCACTATTGAAGGGTTATATTGAAGTGGGTATGGTATATTCATTTATTCGAATTTTGAAAATATATTCGACATACTGTAGTAGCAAGGTCTCAGGTACACCAATCCAGTAATTTTGCGAGATGATCCTCCACAGGGTGCTAAAATTTACATTTTGAATATTGTAAGATTCAGACGACGTTAATTAAAATTTTTCAAATGGAACATCCTACCCTGTATTTTTCATCACAGATTTATTTCGACATCATTCGCCTTTTCATCGCTGAAAAAAATCGGAATCGGTTGCGGCGATTTCAAGTTATGAGTAATTTCTTTATGTTTATCACTTTTTCAGGGCTACTTGTAAGGCATGGTTCCTTTATTTGAATACAAACAATGAAGATTTGGATTGCGAGAATAATGAGGAAATTTTTTTAAAATTTGGACCACTTTCATTGTCGTGATTCCAACAATCCAAATCTCCATTTAACTCAATGATACAAACAATATTTCTTTACTGCGCTGGTTTCGGGAGGGAATTCAGCAAAATTTTAAATAAATTGAAGATATAATCGATTTTGGCGATGTTTGACAGGTCATTACACAAATTATGGAAGTGTATTTTGAGAAATTAGTTCATAGTCTGCAAAAAATCTGTGAAAGTAGCATTTTGGCGGAATGAATTCCGAATAAACAATACTGGGTGTTTCATTTAGAAAAAAAATCCTCTCCGAGTCGTCCCGCTTCTATAAAACACCCACTAATGTTGAAAATATTTTTGAAATATCAACTTTAGTATCTGAAAAAGTTTTTGCTTCAAAGTTTTTCTCTATGGGTTATGGCTTTCGAGATATCGAAGAATTACGCATAAAATGGACACACTGTATTTTGAAGACTGGAACCTTTGCACTATAATACACTACATAGTGTTTCACCACTAACCGAACCGATTATTTTACGCTTCGGCACGTGTTTCACTAACTATGTAGCATCCTCACGATAATATTAAAACTGTATACTATACTAGGTATATGTTCACCTAACAGCGAAAGACATCAACCACCAAGTTAATGATAGTCATGGTTGAGTTCACATGTTAACCTCGGTCTTATATCACTAAACTTTACAGAGGGCTGAAATGGGATAGGTCCATATTCATTAGTCTATTTCTATTCTTGTGATTGAACATGTATGTCGGCTAAACACGATTTATCTAACCTACCATATTTCTAATGTGCTAAGTGTTCTTTGAACCTTGTTTTGGCCTATATATGTTTTAACACAATCATTACAACTAATTTCGTATATTCCTGACTTTTCAAGTGTGTCTACCTTATCTTCTGGATTATCTAATAATTTGCCTAATTTTGACCCGGACTGATAAACGCTTTCAAAACCTAAGTTTTGAAAACCTCATCAAGTCCTGTCGTGTACTTGGGATTGAACGGGATTGGGATTCTTCTCAGCGTAAGGATTATTAAAAGTTTCGAAACCTTCAACCAACCACTTTGAAATATTGTAAGTAGGAGAACCAATTGCCAATCACTGTTCTCAACACAAAATGGCAAGTTTACATTTCCTAGTACATCGACTAGTTTATTCATTACCTCTGAGTAAGATTCTCTGAGCGAACAAATATTCGATGTTGAGTGTTGTTTATAAAATGGCTGGCGTCAATGATATCAAAATAGTAGATAAATTAATACGTAGACATAAATTTGAGTTAACACTTCGGAATTCTACGACTTTTCAAGCGGACAGTAACAATTCGAGAAGAATCTCAATCCCGTTCAATCCCAATAAGTACAAGAGAAGAGAGGACTTGATAAGGTTTTCAAAAACTTAGGCTTTGAAAGCGTTTATCAGTCCGGGTCAAAAATAAGCAATTCATTACGTAATCCAAAAGATAAGGTAGACACACTTGAAAGTCAGGAATATACGAAATTAGTTGTAATGATTGTGATGAAACATATATAGGCCAAACCAGGCGTTCCATGAAAACGAGGTTCAAAGAACACTTAGCACATTTGAAATATGGTAGGTTAGATAAATCGTGTGTAGCCGAATACATGTTTATTATCCTCAAATTAGTTAGGTAAGTTAATAATGCTAGAAAATTAGATGCATATGGAAGCTTGGAGATATTTAAAAATAGTAATAGAATAATGAATAAGGATACTGGACCTATCCCATTCAGCCCTCTGTATAGTTTAGTGATATAAGACCAAGGTTGACATGTGAACTCAACCATGACTAACATTAACTTGGCGATTAGTGTCTTTCATGGTTAGGTAGACATATACCTATATAGTATATAAGTAGCACACAAGGATAGAACATCCAGTTTTAATATTCTCCTGAAGATACTAACATAGTTAGGGAAACACGTGTCGAGGCGTAAAATTATCGGTTTGGTTAGTGGTAAAACAGTGTGTAGTGTATCTTGCCATATATTTGGACGTTTTTGAAAGCACCGAAAGGAACAAAGGAAGAAACAAACACTCTGTATATTATCAAATAACTGGACGTATGATTCGACTTTGCTTCAACTGATATGGGGTTTGCTATATCTGATTCCGGAGGTTTTTTTCTCATTTCCAGATACAAAAACAAAATATCGACAAAAAAGTCTTATTTTCAAGTGTGCAACTGTGCATGGTACTTACGGACACATTTGGGAGGCAATGGATCCCATTTTCCATGACTGCACATGCTATGCATTTCTCCTGCTAAAAAGTATCCTCTGTTGCATTTAAATCTCACCATCCTACTACGACTGCGCCTTTTCGCAATACCATTTTTTATCGTAATCATAGGGCAGCTCTGCTCTGGAAGTAAAGAAGATGTTACGACATTAAGTTCAGCGATCGAAATAGAGTAACGCTCCACTCATAGCGATTTTTGCCCAATCCAAAGAGTTCAAGAAAAAATCTAGATATCGTCGCCTTTTATAGCAAGCATAGATTAACCTAACTTTTGAGATACAGGGTATCAAGGTTGAACATGAACATAGATTCTTTTTTTTCCACCCTGTATAGCTTCTCTTGATGGCAAAATGTATTCAGAAATGTGACTGGAACGGTGTGAAGATTTCAAAATGTTACATACTGTGGTAATCTAGTCATGTATGTATTGTATGTCCTGAATGGATTACTCAACCTCAGCATTTACATCAAAATTTGAAGTTTGATCTCGTTTTTCCGTTTTTTCTTGAATACGGAGCGTCCTATAGGGTATCAACAAGAGGACCTTTTTGGTACTAAATTGAATGACTTTTTATAACATTATATTGAATTAGGAAATATTTCCTTTGTTGCTCACTTTCAAGTATAATATAATCAATCATATTCCCCTAACGGCTCCACCGGTAGGGAGAAAGAATTTTATATACATCACCTTGATGCATAGAAGATATGTACCAAATTTCATGAAGATGTCTACAATATTATCCCAGTTATTATTGAAACACTGATTTTTTTTCAAAACTTTATCACCCTATATCTCAAATGTTAAGACTTTTAGGACATACGTTAGTGGGAAGTTTTTTTCTTGAAATGAGTTGAAGAATCACCCCCTTGAATATTGGCATGTCTTTAAGGAACACCCTGTATAGTATTGTCGTCGTGGAAAATGAATTATTATCGGAGGCTATTTCACTCATCACATATAATATGTCCTTTCATAAGCCAGAGATAATATGTGCTTATCGCGAAAACATTAGCTGTCTTTCAATTCTGATTGGTCTATCAGCGTTGATGTTATCAACGATTCAACCATGGATGGGACAAAGCAAAGTCTGTCAGTTTGGCATAAAATAATTATGGCTGTCAGAATGAATCACTCATTTGTAATGAATACTTTTTTCTACAAACGTCAAAAAATGACAAGGTTCGCGCATTGGTAACAAATTGCGAAGTGACACTTTTTTTCAGTTTCCTACGTTACCATGATACCTTGCACAAAACAATGCGCGAAGTAAAACAGTGCGCGAAATACCTACTTCGCGCATTGTTATATAGAATATAATTATGAGATATTTATATTTCAACTTTATGGTCCTCAATCCTGCAAACATTCACGGAACTATTTATTTCTGTATGTTCAACAATAACTTTGTTTTATCTCTTGGAGCGCACGAAAGGAAATTCCTATTATGTTCGTGGAACATCGTGCGCACCTATAGGGAGGATACGGGAAGGCCTTTTAAGCCAGTTCAACACTATTTTTTATATCAAGCTAAGCATAATTTTACTTGAGAACTATATTTTTTGACGTTTATAGAAAAAATGTTGTTTGCAACTCGAGCGTGAAATACTCATGTATATTTTCACATGCCTTTGCTTGTAGTAACTTCTAAAAACGACTGAAGATGGACTTTTATAAGTCCGAAACATGCCCCCTTGATTGATTTACATCAGTATTAAAGTAGTGGAGATGACTTTGAGCTTTCATAATAATAATAATAATAATAATAATGATAAATCGTCTTTATTCATCTTGCAACAATATCAGTACATTAAAATAAAAAATAATTATTGTAGTACAAAGATGAAGAGGCGAAGTGTCAGCTGATGCTGTTTCACAACTTAACCCTTGAAGAAAAATTTCACTTCACTTTGAGCAAACATATATGAACTTCTACCAGAGATCAATATGAACTGTTTACCTAGTAAATAATGTATGGAATAAATATTATTGTTTCCAATGTTCTCAACATTCGAAAATATTCAGGAGGTTGAGACATTTTTTGATTTCTCGTGAAAGATCATCGTTTTGCGGTCATATAGCACGCAGGAAGTTGGCTGTCTACTCAATAACCTCCAGGCATATCATTATTAGTTTTTCGCAAATATGTCAGGAACCTCTACATTTACGCATGTGGAATGATATTATTTTCAGGTTAGATATCGATGAGCCTAAATTATGTCATAAACCAATTTGACATTGCATATATCTATGAAAAAATATGAAAAAAAAAGTGGCGACATACGACCGTAACTACGCACTGGTTATGATAGTATATCAAGTTTGATGTTTTTTTCTACAGGGGTTTCGAGGAAATTAATATGAAACTCTTTTTTTTTGGTATTTTTGACACCCTGTATCTCAGAGAGGATGCATTGTAGGACATAGTTGATGGGAACTTTTGATCTCAAAATAAGGTTAGGAATCCGTATACGAAGTTTGTCAGCCTTATTCTGACACCCTGTATAATGGATTGAAACACCACCTGCTTACACTCTCTTGAGTAATCGAAATTGTCTCCTGACTTGAGTTCATCCACTCGTGATCATTCATTTCAAGTCGATCAAAATAGGGCATGAATACTTTTTATTTTATATTTTTTAATTTTTTTTTTAAATGGTCAAGGCGCTATGACTCCTGCATCTCACCTCCCGTATTCTATAGCTCAGTTTATCAGTTGAGTCAGGATTTTGATATTTTGCAGACTTGAATTGTATCATAGGGCGCATACCAGGAAAATAAATTCGATTATACAGGGTGTCCCCAAAAAGTGTGACCTCATAATGATTTTTAAATGGCATGCCATATATCCTGTTACACATTTGAGTGCTTCTAGTAGTTACCTACCTAACAAAAAAGAGAGTGCCTACTCAATAGGATCATAAAAGATACATATCTAATAAGGCCAGAGAGGATCGCTATATAACCGAGTTTGATTTACACGAATCATCACCGTGCGTGCAAAATTTAGTGGCAAACTTTTAAAGCACTATAGTTTTTTTATTTGAAATTAAGGCCCCCGTATATTCTCATGTCATTCGATGAGTGAATAGAAAACAAACTCTTCATCTGTTCACAACCCAATCGAAATTCTCATCGTATCAAAATTTATATTTGCCGAAAACTCGTTTCATCAGCTATTCTGATAGTCATTTGAATGACGTCATGTCCTAGTGTTCTTCACCAATGACGATTACTAGGACAAATGCACTTGAGTTGAAAATTGAATGAAATTCTGTATCATAACCACAGTCAGTAAACTACTACAGGATCTTGTTTCGTCAAATATTGAAGTTCATGAGGAGCAGTATTCGCCTTAGCGTTTTGTCTGCAGTTCATGCAGGAAAATTATCCAAATGTAAATTATATGACGATTATATTATAGGGACCAGAAACTGAGGAATACTACTATTTTCAGATATGCGTGAATGAAAATAGTTTCAGACCGATTGAAATATTCTGAAGGATATATGCGAAGAGCCCTTCTGGCTGTAGAAGATGGAACATCGACTTTTTTCGAAAAATTATCATTTTCGCAACATAAAAACAAAATTCTAAAGAAAAGGTTCCTCTGCTGTATTAACATTCCAACAATGGCATCAGTATAGATACTGCTTGATGAAGGAAAAAGAAAAAGCTGACGAGATTAAAAGAATTGAAGAATCTAAGCGAGAGGAAGAGGGAAAAACTGCAAAAAAGAAGAAAGAAATTGCGAAATAAGAGGAAAGAAAGAAACAGTACAAGGAAAAAAATGGATCAGTTTATTCCTCAGGCAGATTTTATTGCAAAATTTGGATAGATGAGTTTGAAAATCAGGTGTGCATCATGTTTCAGCAAATATTATATTTTGATCATCAAATAGACACTTCCGATGAAATAAACCTTAAATTTCAATTTTCTTAGAAACATGGTAAGTATATATGTTATACAAAGTTTCAAAGTTTGAGTTTTCCTTAACCCGATGAATACTGGTACGTTTACCTTGATAGGTATTTGTTCTAAAATTTGGTCTAAAATTTGTTCTAAAATTTGTTCTAAAATTTGTTCTATCCGTCATTCGGTTGCCCCCTTACGAGCAACCCTCAAAAGTCTTCGAAAGTCTTGTGCGAGCAAGGAATGACGGGGGCCTTACCTTTTAACGTGTGATCCCAAACACTTTCTTGGGCCATCAGAAAAATTTCTGCAGTCGACGGGGATCGAACCCACGACCGGCAAGCGAATGCGAATTAGAATATAGACACTCTGTCCGCACGGCTACCTGGCCACTAAGTATAGGTATAGGTATATGTACATACTTACTAGTAGATCCGTATATCAAGACAAAATCCCAATTAAAACTGAGGAACCACAAAAAATACATCAATATCTTCATTGCCAAAAAAAACGATTCACCAGCAATTAAATCAGGATACCGTGAACATAGAAACTTTACGCCAGATTCCGTCAAAGATGATTTCTGTTTACTGAACTATCAAACTCTGGCGAAGGCTGGACTGCTGAATATCTAACGGAAGTACTCAGATAAAAGCGGAAAGGGAAAAATATTATCTTTCAAAAATATGCGTTTGCTCATGATTGCCGAATTCAATAGAAACGAATGACAAATGTTAATAGTATTTTTCAGTGGCGTGATTTGTGGGAGTCTGCCTCTTCTCCAGAGAGCGAACATAAACTGTTCACGATTTCCTTCTTTCGTGAAATTCCAGTTCTCATCCGATAAAATGTATACTATAAAGCGGGGTTACTTTGCATCTCCAGGTAGCTATGCAATGAGTTCGTAAAAAATCTGAAAAAAAAAATCATTTCTCAGCTGTTAATACTATGGGCATGACTTCGCCTAAAGGTTCTTCAGTATCCTCTATCAGTCTGGTATCAATAGATTTCATATTGTCAAAAAGTATAAATGCCTATGAATTAACATCACTCAAACTCTCGTTCATTTCAAGATCTTTCATCATAAATTAACTTTCCCAAATTAAATCATCCAGTACAGTGTAGTTTCGATCAGGTCAGCGGAGTTCATAGACGTCAGTTCCTCTAGAATGTGCAAAAACCGCTTACCGTGCGATAATACCTAGGTAAGCAATATCGAAAGGTAATTATTATTATTAACTGACAATAAGGGCAGAGGCAAAGCCTATTATACCCATGAGTATACAAAATTAACCTAACAATATTAACCTAACAATATTAACCTAACAATACAAGTGAGTGGTATCGTATAAACATAAGAATCGAAATTGTTAGTATAGACAATGAGGAACATTAGCACAGTTGGTACAGTCAGACTGGAACACTGGAACGCGTCGAAACCATTTTTGAAACTGTTTGTGCTTGGAGCTGTCACAACGGCCTTTTGGAGTGAATTCCATAGCCCGAATACTCTGTTGGCGAAAAAGTTTTGCCTAACGGTGGACTTGAAGTTTTCGCATTTGAGCTTCAAGCTATGGCCTCTCAGCCTGGGGTCAGTGTTCAGCTCAAAAATATGCTGCATGTCAATGGATAATGTATCGTGCAGTATGCGGTATGTCAAAATAGCATCTCCTCTAGCTCGTCTTTCTTTGAGAAATGGAATCTTCAATCGGGTTAATCTATCTTCGTAAGATTGTAAGATAAGTGCCTGAGTGAGGGTACCATTCGGGTGGCAAGACGTTGAGTTCTCTCTAAAAGTTAGATGTCTTTCACTAGGTGTGGGGACCATATTTGGACACCATACTCTAGTAGAGGACGTATATACGACTTGTATAGTTGACCAAATAGTTGGGGATTAGGATTGGTGAAACACTTGCGCAGTAGATAGATGCGACTTTTTGCTTTGTGTACAACATCTGTTACATGACTCGACCAGGAGAGTTTTTTGTTGATGGTGATACCTAGATCACATTGTTCGTCCACGGATGGTACTGTATTGTTGAATAAACGGTAGTTGAGGGATGGATTGTTGTTACCAAGATGTAGCACACAACATTTGCTGTCGTTCAAGGGGATGTCCCAATGGACATTCCCATTGCGGAAAATTGTGAATCTAGCATTGATTTCAAATATAAATAGAACCTGAATCGATAAGGCATGCTCATTATTAGTTCAATCGTTATTCGATTCATCACTACCAATTATTTATATTAAAATCAGTACATAGCACTCATCCATCGATTGCTGACTTCCAAAGTCGCGCTATGCCACTTTGGGGGTGTGACATCTCCTCGACTTTAGTGCTGCTGCCCATAACACAATGTAAGTACCAATAAGAATCATCATCTTGTTTTTGTTGTTCGCTTATTTCATATTTATTCTTTGCTGTTCCGCCTTTTTCTCGTCAAAAAAGCCAATCGAGTAGCTAAGTTACGAAGAATGGTCAACATCTCAGTTGCGACACGTGGTGAAGGCGCCGTTTGTTCTCAATAATGCCATATAACCTACTAGAATCATCTGAGTTGCGACAATATAGCTCAATAGGCTAGAGCTCTAGTTGCCGAAAATCACCTGCCTATTTGGCGGGAGTTTTTGTATACGTTCGACAGTTGGTTCCCTAGGTATTTTCTGGAATGTTACATTTCAATATCTTCATAGTAGTTACCTCAACACGCCTATTATCGATATTCTTTCAGGTTTTCGATAACTTGACGAATTTTTGGGGGTTGGTAAAGTTACATGATATATTTTTTTCAATTTCGGGGTTATATGTATGTAATGATTTACTGGGAATTACGTTCCTCAAACATTATTAGAAGTGAATGTTAACGCCATAAACAAGTCATTTCGATGTAAAAGTGCGTCAAAAAAATCCAATAACGTCATACTGGTAAATATAGTGCACCGACTGAGCTAAAAGTGATGAGTGGCAGCTTGTGGACGTGATCTTTGCCTGTGTGCTGAATATGGGTCCCCCTTCACTCCCCTCAAGTTCCAATGATTTCAATATTTTGTCTTTTTTCAATTCGAGAACTAGTTTTTTATAAATTTTTCTCATTATCTTTATGAGTTTTGTTGAAGATGGAGACTGGATATGGGGCTCATGGCTACTTTGCCAATCTCAAAATTCAAAAATAAAATACTCTCTCCGTACCCATAGATTAAATCTATTAGTCGCATAAAGAAAGAGCCAAAATTGGACATACTTCTTATGCGAATACATATCATTCGCAGTTCAATAATTATTCGCGAAAACCCCGATATTTCTGGCAAAGTAATTACGTCTTATACGGTATCCACCTGAATGTACCCTCTGCGCGCCATGCTACGACGTACATACTGAAATAAATTTGAAGGAAAGACAGTAATTATATACATTGCATTTATTTCGAAACATTTTATTGATTATGTTCATGTCGAAAAAATTGTGACATTGCAGCGATTCGTTTCAATTCGATATTTCTTGTTTTTCTGGCGCTTAAACGTATGGGGCAGCAATTTTTCCCGGAAAATTCGGCACTTTTTTGTGAAATATTGTTATTTTAGTTATTCAAAGTTGATATAGTCCTAAGTAGGCCACCTGTTATATCCATATACTGACCATATTTATATCTTTCACTTTAGTGCACGGCTCACAAGGCTGAATTTCTTTCATAATGAATATCTGTTCCCACTGGTCTCCTGTCGAAAAGTCGTACGGAAAATCTGTCAACGCTCTTTTGTAAAGTTGAAAAAAAGTTGCTCGTGAAAGTGTGTTTTGTTTTTCTTTACCTCTTTAAATAACGTCAGAAAAAATGAAAACGATCCTCATGATAGACATCAACATCTTGGACACAGTCTATAATAGTTAAACCGGCGCTGTTATGTATAGACATATCTTAGACATCAGAGGGTAAAGGTCGTTTCACAAAAACCCTTTCCCAGGCAAAACAAGGTGATTCTAAGAACGTTCTTAGAATATTTCCGTGGAACATTTCGAATTTTCTCAGAATCTTCTCACAACGTACACTGAACCTTCTAAGAATATTTTAAGAACATGTAAATGGGACGAAAATTCACGACCAAGAACGTTCACATAATATTATTCAGAGCATTCTCAGAACTTTCTATGTGGATATTCAGGGTTTTTCACTCAAAACTCTGCACACCATTATCTCGAAAACGAATAGAAATATTTTGTTTCTGTGAGAAATAGTCAATAAATGGGGTGAAGCAGATGTTTTTCAAAGTTAGAAAAAAACACCTACTAGAAGAGCTGAACGTCGCGACGCGTCGAAAATATAGATCGATTGCAATGACTTTGAAATACCACGCACTAAACAGAATATGTTATTTTTAAACTCTTTTGTTATTTTCTGGAACTTATTTATTTTACTAGTTCCTGAGTTATACCGGTTTATAATAAATTGTTCTTGATTGACAAAATATGCGATTACGTATGATTCTCACAAGAATATCATGAATATATTAGTTTACCTTGGCATCATTTGTTATCGCAATTTTTTCAAGTTCAAAACTAAACTAGTGCACATGTTACCCAGCGAGCACAAACATCCCTGGGATATTTTGAAAATGTTGGCATGAAGATGTTACTTTGAGACGTAATATGCACTGACCAAAGAGGTCTTTGAAGGATATTAAAGTATTGTTTTTGTTCTTCTGTGGCATTTCTTTGTTTGCCTACTGAGAGGTATCCCTGGGATGTTTTGGGATGTTTTAGAAATGTAGGCATGAGGATGTTTTTTTGAGGCGTAATATGCACTTCCCAAAGAGGTCTTAGAAGGATATTGAAAGTATTGTTTTTGTTCTTTCGTGCCCTTTCTTTGTTTGCCCCACCACAACGTCTCATGCTTACGTCACAATACGATGAATTCTGATTTGTTTTCGATTTTGTTCTTCTTGTTCGCAATTGGTATCCGCGTTTGCAGCGTGTCACGCTTACATCACGCTGCTAACGAACAGAAAGGAATTTGGTGAAGTTTATTGTGTTAGAAGACTTATTTAGTTTCTAATGATGACCATCAGATGCAAGATGTGTTGTTCGGTGCCTCAGTGTAATCAATATATAAAAGTACGAATTCATCAATACACAGCGCTTCTCCACAGTTGCAAAATTATGCATTGTGGAGAACATTTCAAAAATTGGGAAACCTATTTCCAATTATAAGTCTGTGTGTAGTAAGCACTACTCAGAAACCGATTAAGAAGGTAATTTCATATCAAGAAAATATGTTTATGTTCAATCTATTCTTAATGCATCTTTTCTTTCAAGGAAAATGGAATCCTAATGCAAAAGTTCATTTTGACAAAAGGCTTCAGAAAAGTACCTCGAAAATGGTTTTTTTACAGCGATTTAATGTGCGCAAGACGCGTTGAAAATGCTCTGTTGTGTCCATGAAGAGGCTCTAAAAAGAACTAGGGAGAAGGTAGTTTTGTGACATATCAAGGACATCTCGATAATTGCCGCCTGCGGCGGACATTGGCTGTTTTATAATAGTTCTATTCATGTGTGAACAGATCATCGCAGTGGAGGTTCAATTTCTCGAAATCTCG